TATTAATATCCATTGCAGAGTTGATGTTATACGGCTCGTTCAATGAATCGCTGGCCGTCTCAGTGAGCAGCCGTAAAACAGTGATTCTGTCCAAATTCCCTTTAAAATCTTAAATGATTCCCTTTGAGCTAAATTGACCTGTTTCCCTTACACTGCAAAAGATGCGAGACGCAAACGCAACTGTGATATACGTCTGTTTAGCACGTGTTTACACAGAAAAACAATGGAAAAGTAGCGCACTGGAGCCAGTTGCATAAACTTAGCCTCTATGTTAAGACAGTGTCTTAAGAACTAGTCCGAGCAACTAGCAGTTAATAAATGATAACCAGCCTTAAAGAAAAAAAAATTAGATGACTAACTTTTAAGACTAGTCTAGTCTAAATATTTTATGCAACCAGCCACTGTGATAAGGCTCTTGCAAATTAATTCTGTTCAGTGATTGTCCAAGAATTAACTGATAACTAGTTTGACCAACTAGCACAGGGGTACCCAAACTCTGTCCTGGAGGGCCGGTGTCCTGCAGAGTTTATCTCCAACTTGCCTCAACACACCTGCCTTTAAGTTTCTAGTATGCCTAGTGAGAGCTTGATTATCTGGTTCAGGTGTGTTTATTTGGGGTTGGAGCTAAACTCTTCTGGACACCGGCCCTCCAGGACCGAGTTTGGACACCCCTGAACTAGCAGTTAACAAAATCAGTCTTATATTTTGGATTCAGCTTAGACTAATCTACATTTTAATTTAACCGAATTTAAAAAAATTTGAGCGGTCTTAAAAAACTAAATTAGATGACTAACGTTTTAAGACTAGTATAAACCTTTTATGCAACCGGCCCTTGGAATGGAAAAGGCGGATAAATCAGCTCATCAATTTACAGTGTAAGGCTTGTCGCCTTTCATTGTCATTCCTATCGCATGTCCTCAATCTGGCAACCTGTGTGAGCATCGAGTCTAAGGAGGAGGAGCGGAAGAAACAACTCTCTCCACTATTTTGAATTTGGACCACAGCTCCTATTTCAGCTACTAGACGTCAATATTATATGCCACATCTTTGATGCCAAAAGAGGGTCTTCGTTGACGCAAGCTGTTGGTAAAATTGGCCCTTTATAAACTAACCTTGAGAGACATAAAATAAAAATTCTGCATTTCATCACCCTTTAAAAATGAAAAATACTGCATTTCTAATCATAAAGAATAAAAGCGAATGCACACCTGACTGCGGGTCCATGGTGAAGTACTGCTGGCCTCGAATCACTGAATACACAAGTTTGGCACTATTCCCATACGTTGGGTCATCAGCATCTGTGGCTGTCACTTGAATAACCGATGTGCCTAGGGAAAGAGAGAGAGACGAAATAAGAGATATTTTTGACAAACTCATGGTTCAATGAGCATGTGACCCTCCGTTTTTTCTTCCAAACACAGCTGACAGCAGTCAGAGGGCATTTGCGTGTGTGCAGCCGAGCGCAGTACCAATGTTGGCCATCTCAGGGATGGTGGCGCTATACGGACCGCCCTGGAACACAGGCGGGTTGTCGTTGATGTCTTGCACACGAATGATGAACTGGGATGAAGGCTCCAGGGCTCGGCCGGTCTGTCGGTCTGTTGCCGTGGCGATAAGGCGGTACTGGTCCTTTTCCTCACGGTCTAGGGGTTTGGTGACGTGGATGTTCCCCGTTCTGCTGTCAATGACGAAAACCGAACCGGCCCCCTCACCTTTTAATATGTATTTGGTTCGTCCATCACCTCTGTCCACACTTGAATGAAGCTGGAGGAATGAAGAAAAGATATGTCAGAAAATTCTCATTAACAAATTACATTTTTATGATGCCTGTATGTACAGTATAAAAGGCACTCATAATTCTATATGATATATATTGTATTACAACTGTTTTCACAATACTTTCATATATAATGTATTATATTCTAATAATTTGGTTGAAGACTTCAGCTAATTAATATATTTTAGCACAAATAATTTAATTATGTTCAAACATATTATTCCTGAATACTTAAAGAATCAGTACTATATAAAGATGCAAGTGATTCAGTAATATTAATATTTATATTATCTATTATTTTTTTATGTGTGCTGTCATTTGATATTAGGGGTGATTGAACATGCAAACTCAATATTAAATTCAATACAAACTAATGTTAAATTCAATATTATAATCTTTCTCAATATAAATATGTGACCCTGGACCACAAAACCAGTCTTAAGTCGCTGGGGTATATTTGTAGCAATAGCCAAAAATACATTGTATGGGTCAAAATTATTGATTTTTCTTTTATGCCAAAAATCATTAGGATATTAAGTAAAGATCGTGTTCCATGAAGATATTTTGTAAATTTCCTACTGTAAATATATCAAAACTTCATTTTTGATTAGTAATATGCATTGCTAAGAACTTCATTTGGACAGCTTTAAAGGCGATTTTCTCAATATTTTGATTTTTTAGCACCCTCAGATTCCAGATTTTCAAATAGTTGTATCTCGACCAAATATCCTAACAAATTACATCAATGGAAAGCTTATTTATTCAGCTTTCAGGTGATGTATAAATCTCAGTTTCGCAAAATTGACCCTTATGACTGGTTTTATGGTCCAGGGTCACATCTATTAAATATAACTTTTACTGCTTATTACTGTTGGCACACATATACCATTAAACATTTGTGGTCAGTATGATTTTTTAAAATAATAATAATAATAATAAATGTATTCGGCAAGGATGCATTGGATTTACATTTTAAATCACATTTTGAAATATATTAAAATAGAAATTAACAGTCATTTTAATTTGTAATAATATTTCACAATATTACCATTTGTACTGTATTTTTGATCACATAAATGAAGCCTTGGTGAGCATTAGAAACTTCTTTCAAAAACATTTAAAAAAATCTTACCAACCCCAAACTTTTAAACAAATTGCTTAAGCCACATACACATATTTATTTCTTATTCATAAATATTTGCTGCATACCTGAAAGATGGCATGTAGATCTAAAGTAGACTTTGAGATATGAAGAACAATATCCCTACATTTATAATGCATTTTATGCACAGGCACCACAGAAGGTGTTACCAAAATCTAATGCTATTTTCTCACTTGGCTAATATTCTTTTCTAAAAAAACATCCTGTGAAGATAATAACTTAAGAGACCAACTGGTTCCATATGAATAAATAACTCCATGAGGTAATGAGATGTGTTTGTTGCTTTCAGTAACTGAGATCCTCTAAGGCCAAACCACACAAATTTAATATCCGAGTATAAAAAATGATATTGGGAAAAACTGTCCATAATAAACGAGTGGCTTCCTCGTTTTTGCAGCCATTGCTAATAAAAAGGCATTTGCCTTTTAATAATTTCCGACAAAGTTATAATTGCTCTGGTTGAGCTCTGGGCAGGCAGACTGATCCAGGATCACTGTGAAAGGGCACCTTTCACCAGGGGCTAAAAAAGACCTCTGTATCCAGATCTCCAGTGTGCCTGATACGAGGAACACCAGGTGTTTTTGGACTGATAGAGGACTGATGATTGGCCGGGCAGAAAATTTATTAGCTCAGCCGACCAATAAGGTCACAGGGGAACTGTGGGGAACATTAACATGAATGTGCCAAATAAACGTGTAAAACCAGACATGCTTTGGCTACGTAGATCACAGTAGAATAGAAGCACAATGTTGCATACTGCAGTCTATTTTAATTTAAATATGGAAACATAACACAGCCTGTCATCACTGCAAATAAATAATGATAAAAATAGTTATTTTGCATATTTAATCCAGAAAATCGTTTTAACTCTTGGCAGTCTGATTAAATAATGATTCATAATGACATTAAAAATCATGGCTGATATTAGTTTATGGTTATTTATTTATATATACCCAAAAAGAAGACTATAAAAAGACCTAAGACGCATAAGGACTTTCACTGACACAACATGGACACAAATAAATCACTGAATCATTTGTTGAAAAGGTTCATTTGTATAACCTGTGCAAACTGATTCACTAAAAGGAATCGGACCCTTCAACGCTACATTCAAATGATGTTTTTAATTGTTCTCTTTGTTTGACTAGCAGAATTTGCAAACTTTAAGTGCAATCGCATTTTAATAAATAAAGAAACAAATAAAATATCATATTATATAAGCCACACATGTAAAACTATCATTGTAATTTTTAAGTTGTGACTG